GGCTCTTTCCTTTCCACAGAAGCCTCACTTCTTCCTGATGAGGAAATCAGAGAGGACCTTCCCCTTCCTCCCGGTGCAGGGATCTTTTCCGCTCTTTCCTCCCTCTTCTCCCACAAGCAGGAGCCCAGCCATATGTCAGGGTGCTCACTGTAAGCCTGTGTTGTGGCAATGATGTCCCTTGGTGGCAATCATGAAGCTAGAACCACGTGGGTATGGTAAACACCTTCCCCCTCCTAAACCTGGAGTTCCACAACTCCACATGTGTAAGTATTTGTCCCATGTTAGAAAACCTGAAAATTTTCCTCAGATGGAGCATGCCACCTGACCAGGGACGTCAGATCACCTTTCTCTTCACATGCAATTTCCTTAGGATCTTGCTGGACCCCAGAGACCAGTTCAGCTGTGATATGATCTCAGGTAGCTAAAGTTAGGTGAAATGAATCCCACCTAAGTCTTTTATCTGTCTCTGCTGGGCTAATGTTTATAATTGTCTTTCCTGTCTGCCCTTGCTGTCTATTAACGTCTTCCCTGTATCTGTGCTCCTGCATAAGGTAACTGGGGGCCCTCACTCCCCGTGACAAGGGCTCTTTCCTTTCCACAGAAGCCTCACTTCTTCCTGATGAGGAAATCAGAGAGGACCTTCCCCTTCCTCCCGGTGCAGGGATCTTTTCCGCTCTTTCCTCCCTCTTCTCCCACAAGCAGGAGCCCAGCCATATGTCAGGGTGCTCACTGTAAGCCTGTGTTGTGGCAATGATGTCCCTTGGTGGCAATCATGAAGCTAGAACCACGTGGGTATGGTAAACACCTTCCCCCTCCTAAACCTGGAGTTCCACAACTCCACATGTGTAAGTATTTGTCCCATGTTAGAAAACCTGAAAATTTTCCTCAGATGGAGCATGCCACCTGACCAGGGACGTCAGATCACCTTTCTCTTCACATGCAATTTCCTTAGGATCTTGCTGGACCCCAGAGACCAGTTCAGCTGTGATAAATCATGGAATCACAGAATGGTTAGAGTTGGAAGGGACCTTAAAGATCATCCAGTTCCACCCCCTGCCCTGGGCAGGGACACCTCCCACCAGACCAGGTTGCTCCAAGTCCCATCCAGCCTGGCCTTGAACCCCTCCAGGGATGGGGCAGCCACAGCTTCTCTGGGCAACCTGGGCCAGGCTCTCACCACCCTCGCAGGGAAGAGTTTCTTTCTGGTATCTCATCTAAATCTCCCCTCTTCCAATTCAAAACATTTACCCCTTGTCCTGTCACTGCACTTCCTGACAAAGAGTCCCTCCCCAGCTCTCCTGTAGCTCCCTTCAGATATTGGAAGGCCGCTATGAGGTCTCCCCGGAGCCTTCTCTTCTCCAGGCTGAACAACCCCAGCTCCCTCAGCCTGTCCTCACAGCAGAGGTGCTCCATCCCCCTGATCATCTTCATGGCCCTCCACTGGACCCGTTCCAGCCGGTCCATGTCCCTTCTGTGTTGAGGACTCCAAAGCTGGGCACAGAGCTCCAGGTGGGGTCTCACGAGTGCAGAGCAGAGGGGCAGAATCACCTCCCTGGCCCTGCTGGCCACACTTCTCCTGATGCAGCCCAGTGTGGGGCAGGAAACGTGGTGACAGAGCTCCTGGTGAAGCCCTGCCTGCCAGCCCCAGGAGCCCAGTTCTTATTCATGACAGTAAGCCCTGTCTGTGTAGCTCATGGCAGCACCAGGCTCACAGTTACCTCCGGGGGTCTTTGTTTCCCACACCTAGAGACAGAACAGGAGAGACGTGAGAACACCTCGCCTACAAAACAAGCCTCCATCCCCATCTCAGCTCTCTATGGATGCCCACAGAACAACTTAGAGGTGTTAAGGGGTCCCAGCACGGGCGGGTGGGGTAACTCACTGGTTCCAGAGGATGTTACCCCTTTTCTCCTTTTAAACCTAGATGCAACTCAGTTGTCAGGTTCTGATTTGAACTCCCTTCCCAAGCCATGCACGGGGTCACCAAGCGTCGGTGGGACCGTGCGTAAACCAATTCACAAAAGCCTCTGGGGCAGGGAAAATGATGCTATTTTAAACATTTGCTCTGTCTCCTGCGAGAACTTAAAAACCTCAGCGCTTTCAATTAACAAGTAGCTCTCCAGAAGTTGGCATCGCTATGGGAGCTGCTGTTCCATGTGCTTGCTGGCCGATTGGGGCCGATTGGGGCCGATTGGGGCTTTTTAATCGCCTTAAGGACCCCCAATTACACGTGTGGGGGGGTTCTTTTTAGGAGTTTCCTGTCCGATACCTGCTGCGGCCGAGCAGCGCAAACTGCGCGGGGCTGGGGCCGCCAGCGGAGCCCCCAACCCTGAGACCCGCGTCAAACAAACCCTGTCTTTAGAGGGCACATCCCCTTCCCCCCCCGGGGCTGGGGGCGGAGGCAAATCCGACC